ACTACCACTACCACTACAACTACTCCTACCATGAATAATAACACCAATGATGACAATGATGATGATAATAAAAATAAGAAGAAGAAGCAGAATACTTACCACCTCCACCACCACTGCTCCTCCTGCTCCTCCTCCTGCNNGCTGCTACATTGCCGAGGCTACCTTCGTCCCGCCTTGGGCTCCTCCAATGGCCGCGAACCCCTGGCCGATGGCTCCGTACCGTGGCTGCAGACGGTGGTTTCGTTCAGGGTTCAGGGTATGTCTTAGGGTCTGGAGTATAATTAGGGTATATCCTTGACATTGATAGTTTGTGCCGCGTTTGTTCGGCGGAGGGAGTGCTGGTTTCATGCCTGTCTGCAGTACTGCATCGACACTTGGGCCATTTTAGGTTAGTTTATGCACTGTAGGTCCGACATGCGTATGCCTAGACCCGAAAGTTTCAGGTGCTAGCGCCCATCGCAGGGCTGTTCACACCATGTCGAAGTGCGATTCGACAAACCCAGGCCTGGCACCCTTTCGAGTGCCGCAGATCGTCGAGAACATCATGCTATTACTGTAGACGCCCTGTCGACCTACCTGCGAAACCGTCAGATACAGCTCAAAAATCACCGGAATGCCCTACTGTCCCTCCGGTTCGAGCCAACCCATTAGCACAGACACAGGTGATACGCTCTCGCCCACGATCTCCTCACTTCTGGTGGAATTTCCCCAAACTCCAACCATCCCAACAAGCAAAGGAACGCATCCTCGGCTCTTGAGGCAGCGATGGGTGGTCCCTGGTCCTTACCCAGCTGTGCAGCACGCTCGAGCCTTTTAGGACCTTTGTCTGAGTGCTTTGGTGCAGGAGGGTGACCTTGTCCTGAACATTTCTCGGGCGATCATAAGAAGGGCTGCAGGGTTTAGCCAAAAAGGCTGAGAGAGAGATTGGGGTTCTTGCTACGATCTCCCACTAGGGATTAGCGGGCTGGGGCCCTGAGTCTTTTGGGCATCTCCCTTCTGGGACCTGCCGCTGCAGAGTCAATGAAGATGCCAGATGGGCCACGCAGAGTGCGATGCCATGGAAATCAAATTGGGGTGTCCCAACATCACTGTAGACCCTAAAAGCTGGTCCAAGCCAGTCCAAGATGTTTGCTCCTAAATCGGAACGTTGTAAGCACTGCCAGCATCCAGCATGACCCAAAGTCAGTCCCGCTGTGTTGAAATTTTCCCGAAAACAAGTTTCAAGAGTGTCTACAAAGAAAAAGCGACTTTCCGACGCAACTAGCCTCTCGCCGTCGTCCACTTGGTTCATTTGGCGTAGTGAATTCATAGGCTGCACACGCTGTCTGCTTCGGGCTCAATGAAGATCCCAAGCAAGGAATGGCCGCGAATGTAAAAACGACAACCCATTCGATTTCTGGAGTGAACGCGAGAAGCTTCTATTATGTATGAAGCATATATATATATATATATTAGAGATGGGGGAGTGTTGTCCTATTCAACAATGGGTAAGATTCACTGTTCACATCTGTTCACGTCCTGTCATGTAGTTCGGCCTTGCAAAGCCTTTCGTAGCCACTGCAGAATCCCGTGCCCAACAGTAGATATCGCAGAGGGTCGCCTGATTCTCAAGTCTCGTAGCACTTGAGTGCAGTTCAAGACATCCCTGGCCTCGTGCTGGATAATCCTGGCAGGACTATGGTGTTCTAGATTTTGTCAGCTCCAGTCGCAGGACGAGCCTGACACGGTGCCGGGACACAAATGCAGATGTTAGGGCACACTGGCCAGCCTGTGAAGGTCGATGTGGCCACCTACAACAACCAGGGACCGCTGACATTAACGGATGGGCATTCCGAACCCGCGATCCTCGTGAGCGTTGTGACT